ATATCTCCGCGGCACAAAACATTGCCCATTGACCCTTTGCTAATGAACACAAGAATTTGCTACTTGATTTAATTCTCCCCCAATTCTTAAAATGAACCAGTTTCAAATATCGTTTTGTTCAAGGAAAAGTTTCATTGACAACCCACTTAGGCAAATCTGTCTGGAGTAACAAGCTTTTTCAAAACGGGTAAGGTCGACTATAATTCACCCTGCAGTTGTAATGCTGAATGTTTTTATAAAATAGCTAAGGTAGTATGTAAGCTCTGATTGGTCAAGAGGAGTGTTTGCATGAGAGTGTGTAAACATGGTTGTGGTGTCAAGATGTTTTCCTTTTCGCTTGCTAATCATGCAAGCACAATTTGAAAAAGTTTTCGAGTTCAAAACTAGAAAAGTTTATTTTATTCGCCCATTCCTTTATTGGCTGAAACTTGGAAAATCTTTACAAATAAGCTGTGTCAATTTTTTTGGGCTTAAGCTGACATTAAGACAAAAATCCGTATTTTGGAAAGCATCTTTTGCAAAACAAGAACTGATTACGCGTGCAAGACTTCGTGTAGAAGACTTTGCGCCTGGTAAGAATTTCTCTTTTAATCAGTGCCATAACAAAGAGTTTTTCTTTTTTTCTCAACAGTTATGCAAACCCTCGACTTCGTCTCGGGTTTGCATAACTGTCTCGAAGTCTCCCAACCCCTCTCGTGTTTATATCAGGCTATGCAAATACGGAAAACGTTTTCTATTGCTTAAATGTCACACAAACGGAAAAATATTAAATGCAGTTAAAATTAGTGCATGTCAAATCTTCTCAGTTCTACTTTCAAGAAATTATAAGTTAAAATATAAAAGGGGAGTTAAGCATTAGCATTACTATTGTATTCTTCTACTTGTGTCTCGTCTTGACATCTCAGCGTCGTTTAAAAAGTATTTACCCTGTATTTTAAACACTTTTCCGTTGGTCAGTTTCTTCGTATGTTAAGTGATGTATGCTAAGTGATGTTAAGTGATGTCCAGACCACTAACCTTACCAGTTGGGCAGTTTAGTTTTGCCATATTTTATCCTGCAATTTTTCGTTCTTGCATTATCATACTTTTAATCAGTGCCATAACAAAGAGTTTTTCTTTTTTTTCTCGACAGCTATGCAAACCCTCGACTTCGTCTCGGGTTTGCATAACTGTCTCGAAGTCTCCCAACCCCTCTCGTGTTTATATCAGGCTATGCAAACACGGAAAACGTTTTCTATTGCCTAAATGTCACACAAACGGAAAAAATATTAAATACAGTTAAAACTAGTGCATGTCGAATAGTGCATCCATGATAAACAAAACGAAACAACATCAATAACATTTAAAAGCACTAAAGTAGCAAAACGAAAAACTGAATCAAATATCATTATGCTTTTGACTCGTAACGGAAGAGATAAGCTTGTTAAGGTTTTCGACATGAAAGTATTTTGCCAGGGCTAAAAGCGAAGCCGCCATTCATGAATTTATAATTTAAATCAAACAATAAACTTGTAATCCACAAATCAGTTAACTTAAGGGCACATTTATGTGACTTTTGAGGGAAAGGCTAAGTTATTTTTGAGTGAAAACATCTTACATCGAGTTAACAGCCTTATATGTACACTCAAAAAATAGTAAACATCTCTGATCACATTCAAGAGCCATAATGGCTCTTGATCACAGTAGATTAGGCCTCGAAAACAAATTCTTTGAAAACAAATCAGGCCGAATTTTTTTTGCGTTCAACAGGTTTACTTTACAAATTCTTGCCAACAAATCTGGAGGTGTGAAAACCAACCTTTTATACTTTTTATACATCGCATCTGAGGTGAAACAGTACTATTTTATCATACAGACCTCGGACAGAATGCGGTATTTCACAATCTTTCAAGACAAATTGCACGTAGTCAATATTCAGGACGATCAATCGTGGACTTTTAGCGAAACCGTTCAAAAAAATTTCCAAAATCACCCATACGACCAGCCGGTTCTCATTTCTATCAAACCTGATACTAGGTGAGATAATTGACTCAAATGTTACAAACGTGCATAAACTTGCCGCATAAACTGTGCTCGACTTCGTGAAATTAGATATAAAACAAACATCAAATGCAATAATTACTCAGGCTTACCAATCGAGATTCAGTTCCTGAAAGCTATCAAGGAAGGCCACAGTTGCTTGAGACTTTTAAACCCTGTCACGCATTAAGCAAGGTGAAAAAAGAAAACGGTGCCACCTGAATTTTGACAAGCGACGCATTTCTCAACCAAAAACCCAATAAACAAACCAGCCATGAATAACAGAAGACTCTAGATAGCAGCTGTATTTCACTTTGTACATCCAGTGGAAAAAGATTGTTAAAATCATCACAAGTTGACACAAAACTCTGTCAGCTTCAGCTGTCAAAGTAAACAACTTTGAAGATGCTGCATAAATTTTCCGCATGAACTCACCTGTCAAATTTTGACCAATCAGAATACAAAAATTGGACGTAGAGCGTGACCAACGCGTGACCATGGTAAGAAAAGGTCTTCCCCGCCTGTACTTTTAAAAAACTGGCTGAATTTTTGCGTCGGAAGTCAGTTTGAAATCAAAATCTAAATAGAGCGGGGCCATAGTGACATCAACACAACATATGTCATATGAATCATTAGAAAAAATAAACTTGAGCCTGCCATCATTTAAAACTGGTAATTTGTCAGCGGATAACTTCAAAAAATACTCGATATTCCGTTTTCGTTTGCACGCAACGGCGGGAAGGAATTATTCTGCTCTTGAAGAAAGTCTTTTGGAAAAGGCGAATCTTTGCTGACGTCATTGTCCACATTTTTCCTCATTAGCATACGACTTAACTCATAGAAGCCGTGGCCGTGTATATGAACTAAATGCAAAAGTTGAAAGAGCTGATTAAGTTGAGTAATTTGTGCAATTTTCAGCTCTTTACAAGCAATATTGAAGGAAATATCAGACATCAAAAACTGCGAAATTGTTGGGTGGCAAAAAAGTTAATGAGCCATGCATTCTCTGTGAAATTTCGAGTTTTTAGAGGAGAATTTCTCCGAAACCACTCGGTGTATTGGGCTCAAAACTGTTATGCCATTTCAATATTTAATTGGCGTCATCAGATAGTGATAACCATATGTTAATGAGGCAAAAAGTGTAAACAAAGATTCGCCTATTGTTGCGGCTCGGAATGGCGCGTGTATTAAGCACTGAACAAGTCAAAGGGATTTCTACACTGACATCAGGAGAAGATTTGCTTGCAGTGCTGCCTCCTGGCTTTGGAAAAAGCCTGATTTTTCAGCTGCTTGTTCGAGTGGTTGAATGTTTAACTGGGTAGGCCTCGTGTGTTTTTTCTCTCGTGTCACGTCTTCAAAAAAGGGAAAAACAGATGCCTTCCATGCATCATTCGGAGAACTTGGGATACTACGTTCTTTTTTGTAAAAAAGGTAAGCACTGGCCTTTTGATACCAGAAGTATATACTGTAACTTGTGGGCATGGTACACTTAACATGATGTGTATACTGGTTTTATAGCTTGTGTCACGAAATGTATTTAATTCAATTGTGAGAACTGCCACCCAATTAACTGAAACATGACAACAATCACAAAAAACGAAGTAGATTGAAACGGATTGCGATTTTGGTTAGCCTAACAGTTTTTGGATTTTGCAACGCTTTGTATAATGCTTGGAAAACTCATTTGTTTGACACAAAGCTGTGGTTTTGACCTTTACACATTTTTTTTTTTCAAGTTTCATAGCGAATAAGGATGCTTAACTGGCATTACAAACTGAATTCCCCCAGTCGTGTCTTCTACCTCTGAAGAGTCAATAACTTCAATATCCCAAATGTTCAGATTATCTGACGTTATTGTTCTTTTATTTAATGGGGAAATAGTACAAATATTATTATTGGGCACGACTTCTAGTGAGCAATATCTGAAATACGGTACATTTGCTTTAATTAAACCAAGAGACATTTTTGGAAAGTAAGCTCAGCACAGCAACAAAATGTCTTGATCATGACTTTGAAACATATAATTTACAATAAGCTTATACATTGTACCTCCTCTGTTTTAAGGCGCTCCTGTTGGATCACTAATGGGAACAGCAGACCCAACAACTTGGGAAGCAATAAAAAGAGTCCTGAATCTGTCAGAAACTGCAGAAGTTATTTATGTGAGTCCAAACCAGCTAAATTTACGGTTTTCAGTCCAAAAAGAGAAAAAAGAGCAGCAGTTAAGAAAACTTGACTGGCTTGTTGACCTTGTCAAAAAAGAGGGGTTCAACACCCCAAAGACAATTGTGTTCTGCAACACAATGAATGAAATTGCCATTGTTGTGAACTACTTGATATCTCAAGTGGGAAAGAAAGTATTTTTTCCCGACTATTCTGCTGTAAAGGACAATTGTTTAATAGGAATTAATCACTCTAATTCCTGGCAAAGTAGTAGAGACAGAGTGATGGAACAGTTCAAGTATTCTGGTTTAAAACGTGTAATTATTGCTACCACAGCACTCTGCATGGGTGTCAACGTCCCAGACATTCGTTGTAATTTGGTTCAATGCAATTTAACTAAATTAACCACCACGAGCTTAGCGGACAAGCGGTCCACAAGCTTAGCGGTCAAGCGTTTCACAATTAGCGGTCAAGTGGTTCACAAGCTTAGCGGTTAAGCGGTCCACAAGTTTAGCAGTCAAGCGGTCCGCAAGCTTAGCAGTCAAGCGGCCCACGAGCTAAGCGGGTATCCAGCGGTCAATCCCATAAGTGCAGGCTCAAATGGTACGTGGAAGCTTTGTACACTGCTAGGAGCTGCGAGTTCTTCGTTGAGAATTTGTGCAGTGCTATGTGGAGCAGTTCATTAGGCGTCTTTTCGTCTCTTTTAGCGATTTTTGGATTTTTTTTTTCTTGTATCCTTTTTCTTTCAATTAATTTTCAAGGCGTGCATGTCATCACGTTCTTTCAGGATGTGAACCACAAACAACAGCTTGTCTACAATGTCTTCTCCAGTTACCTCGTGTTCACGTTCTGGTAGCGGTTCTACACCAGCTCCTCCAGTTAACACTCCAGCTTCACCACCAAGTCAACCTGTTTCTCTGCTGGACAACAACTCTCTAGCACAGGCAATTTCAAAAGCTCTCGCGGAATCATTACCTCCATTGCTATCTTCCCTTCGAGATTCAAGTGGCGGGAACACAAACATGGCCGCGACGTCTGGTCCTCTCTCCTCTGCCTCTAATTCAATGCAGTCTCCGGCATCCTCGAGCTCCGGTACTCCCTGCTCTACCTCCCAGTCTTCAGGTACGCTTGTTGTGCCCTCGTTTATTTCACCTTACAGCTCATTTGGCGGTCCTTCAGTTGTTTCTACTCTCCCGACCACGTCCTCCGCCAACTTGCCTGTAGTGGTTGGGGGCTCTTGTGGTGGCGCGACCAGATCTGAGTCCTCTACGTTTCCAAACCTCAACAAAGCATTTGTGGTGGGTCCTGGCTATGCTCCAGTCCCGTATGAGCTTGTTTCTAAAATTACAGCAGGGCTTTTTGTAGACTTGGCTGACCTACTTCCAGACAACGTCCGAGCTCAAGAAATCGAACCGAACCCCAAGCGTTTTTGGAGGGAAAACTGGTGGTATCAGGGTCTAAGAAATGGGTCATCGAAATGGCAGACATCGTCACATGGATAGAAGTCTTCACAATCTATTATGGTTCTTTGCCGCACCTTCTCCTCTCGCTGGAAAGATTTTTTGCTTTTCTGACAAATCATGGCTCCACTACGACATCGTCTTCAGAAAAGAAGCTGCAGCCTCAGGTTCAACCGACTGGTCTCGTATGCACCCAGACCTCTACAATTTTCACACCAGATCTCCAGTTACCCCTTTAGCTGCTTCAGGCTCCTCAACTTTCTCTGTCTTGTCACTAACAGAGCCTCTGGCATCTTCAGGCAATCCCCGGTCTAGCCAGTATTGCCACTCCAGGAATGATCAGTGCTGTCGCTGGCCCTTTGTCCGCTGCCTGTTTCGTCACTCTTGTGAAACGTGCCACAGGGACCACCCTTGCATCCACTGCCCTCACCGATCCGCAAGGAGAGAACGGTCCCGCTCCCCTCCAGGCAGGCACGGTGGCGGGCCCCTTCTCTCAGCCTCCCCTCCCTGTCCTCCATGTGAGCCGTTTTGGCGTCATCCCTAAACACCACCAACCTGGAAAATGGCGTCTTATCCTGGACCTGTCTAACCCTGCTGGCCACAGTGTCAACGACAGGATTGCAGGCGAAGATTATTCTCTACAGTACATGAAGGTAGATGACATTATTGTGGGCATAATGCGGCTGGGGTGGGGTTCTCTTACGGAGAAATTTGATGTGCAAAATGCATACCATATTGTGCCAGTCCAAACAGAAGATCGCCAGTTGCTGGGTATGAAATGGTGTGCTACCTTTTACGTCAATATGGTCCTGCCTTTCGGTGTCAAGTCAGCTCCATATATCTTCACATGTATAGCAGATTTAGTGGAGTGGGTGGCCAAGCAAACCACCATGTCACCTTCCTGATGCATTACCTTGATGACTACGTGATGTGACGTGACGTGACCACTCAAAATGGTCACGGCTTTTTAGGGTGGGAGAAATTTAGTCGTTTACATGGAAGGATTGGATTATACTGGTAAAAAGCTTATCAAAACGTAAATATACATGGATGGAGACAAAGATGACCCGTCTTTCGAGCCTGGAGATAATCCTGGACAAAAGAAAAAGGTAACATTCAAGCCAGCCTCAATGGTGGACATGAAACCATGTGATCATCTTCACCGATATCTGATCAACAATTTCACTCATCCACTAAATCAAAATCAGTTTTATTCGAAATCGATTTTTCAGCCTACAAATCTGCTGCTAAGGTTGTCTCCTTTGTAACATCTGAGGACCGGCTACTTTTATGGATCAAAACCTTCGCTGTGCGATACTTTGATCACCTGAACGTGATGGAATATCGAGTAACATGGCAAGAACAAGAGTCACATAGCTGCCCAACCAAAAGCGATAAAATCATCATGCACATTCACGAGGAAGAAAATAACATTGAAGATCAAATGGTCACCATAACTATCTTTATTTCCACTGGCAGAATCATGATTCAACTCATTCGAGGCAAAAAATTTGCCGAGTGGAGTCAACAGGAATTTCCTGCACTGCTATCTATTGTTAACATTCTCGGGTCGTCAGGAAACCTTAGCGCTGTTAACGCAAAGAACAAATCTACATTCCATATAGAACTTCACAAGTTTTTCACAAAGTACAAAAGATGTGAGATTGCGGATACAAGGGCTTCGGAACTAAACTATACTACCGTGGAAAATGCTGAAAATGTTGTCAGTGAAATAACAGAAACAAACACCCAGTGCAGACAAAGGAAATACAAGAATAACGTAATTGTCAACACCCATTGAACTCTCCCTTACGCCGAGTAGACTAAACACCTTAACTACTCTGCGAAATACCGTCGGAAATTTAGAAGCCGATTTTACAGAGTTTAAAATAAAAAACGCTGGTAACCTCGAGCACCTAAAAGACAAAGCTGCCCAACTAGATCATAATTTCAAAGTAAAAACAACAACCCTAGGAGGCCTTGCTGATGATCTGGAAAACAATACTAAACTTTTAAATCACGGTTTACAAAAACACGCTGACTTAATTTCCTACCAATAATTCTAATGAAGTGATCTTTCTATGTGATTCAAATGGAAAGTTTTTAGACATGGAAAAAATGTTTTCTTCAAACCAGGAAGCCAAATATATTAGAACTCCACTGATTGAACACGCTAGATCCTACTTGCAAAGTCAAATCCACACTGTTCCCCAACTACTCATATTACACACAGGAACAAACCATCTAGAAAGAACCAGTTCTCCTGAAGATCTTATTTCTAACATCTTAATATTGATTACAGAAGCCTCAACGAAATTTCCTTCAAGTAAAATATTCTACTCAACACTTCTTCCCTGCAGCTGACATCTCGACACCAATAAAAACTTCAACAAACAATCAGTTGATCAGTAGCTGCTCAAGATAACCTAATGTGCAGTTAGTCAAACATGTCAACCTCTTTGCGAATCAACCAAATATTCTTTACAATCAGAAACATATTCTTAAACGGTACGTAAAATTTTTCGCCAAAAACCTTAAGGACGCAATTCGCGGTCGTGTCAAACCAAAAACAACAGTTCCTTCTAATACAATGCCAGTCCAAAGCCAAAGATCCTCACAAACTCAACCGACTTCTTCCCAAGGTACCAAACCACTATTACATCACACATCATACAGCAATGCCGTAAAGAACACACCACCTCAAGAGCCTCGTTGGTCTCACCCTCTTCAAACTCAACTTCCGCCGTTACCATTTCTCACACCACAACTTCCACAGAGAATACCTCCAACAACATTGCAAAATTCACTACATCAGGAACCAAATGCCTCAAATAAAGCGTTCTTGTTTCCTATTCAAACTCTGCCGGACCAGATACCCCCAACTCCTCCACCAACTATATGGCATCAATACTCCAAAACACCGCATCAAACGCTTCCACAGGCAATGGAAACCGCAGGTGAAGAAACTCGCCCCTCCAACAAATTAACGGATTCAGCCATGCCTCAGGAAATCATATCCTTTCTTCGTTTTACAAAATCATTTGTATGAACAATTTCACCTTACCCTTGACACTGAATTAAGTATTAATGATAAACTTTATACCCGTACAAAGAGTAATCCATTTAATTTTTCTATACAATCACGGGCACCAAAGATGGTCTCGATATTTCAAGCCCACTGTCCTTTTGCGCTTGGAATATTAATGGCCTTTCTTCGAAATATCTTGGAAATAAGTTACATAATACTGATTTTTTGAGTGTTATTAATAACTTCGATTTTATATTATTAACAGAAATTGGCAACTGCTCTAATCTGGAAATTGAGGGATACAAATCTTTTTTTCAATGTCCCACCCCAAATCAGTCGCGGAGAGGTGAGCGTAACTCCGGAGGAATCGCTTTATTTTATAAGAACAAATTCCATAAAAATATTTCCATCACTAAAACAACTCAGCATTTTATTCCGTGGGATGCCTGTGGCACTCCCATGGTAAAAATCCGGTTCGGTTGTACCCAAAATTGCAAAGCCAGCCAATAGGATTGCCTAAAATCTTTATCGATTATCTCTTCTTCCAAGCCGACCAATCAGATTGTACAAAATCTGTATCGATTTTTAATCGATTTGCTTCCTCTGAAGAAAGTCGAAATCAGAACGTTCCTTGCCCAATTTGTCGCCCTTGAGTTTTCCCACTCGTGGATTAGGATGGCTTGTTAACCAGCGAAATCCTTCGAGATACTGGCAAGTCACGAAAGGCGACCTAAGCCAAATTATTTCTTTCCTTCATGATTCTTTTTTGTTTAGGTCTAGCTTTTTCATAAGGTTTTAGTAGCGTCTGGTCGCGGGCCATGATTTCCGATAGATTTTTCTATTCGGAGTTCGCCAGTTTTTGCCGAGCACAGCTAGAGTTCAGTTTTTTTCTTTTTTTATCGAAAACACCTTGACGATGGGAGGTTAAATCGTGTAAATTTCAACTCGTACCCTTGACGATTGACGGTGAAATCGCGAAAATATTGTCCTCGTCGATCGACGACTCGCTTTTGGCATGGATTGGACTTCTGGATGGGACACGGATCAGGACCTTAGTAAACTTATTATAATCATTGGAACTATGTTAACTTTGAGACCTTGGAAACACATTGCAATTAATTTTTAACCGTATCAAGAGCATCTTGAAATATTAAACTTTCATCTTGGATTAAAACATTGGAACTTTATTGAACTTTGTAACCCTGGGTTCGACCCTGGATAAAGCAAGCGGATGTTTTGTTTTGTTTTGTTCCATTAACCTAAAACTACAATGTATATTTCTCTTTGAAAAAGTTACCTGTGGCAACTTACTACCAAGATATGACCTATCTTTATACATATAGTTCCTGTTCAGGTTAATCAGAGAGCATTATGCGCATGTTCTCCATTACTTGTTTCCGTTAACATTCCAGTTTAAGTTACACGGCTAAACCTTGTTTTGATGTAAAATAACTTCTTTTTCTTATCCAAATCGTGTTACGAAAATAACTACATAGCGATAGATCAAAACAAGATCAACTCCATCCTTGCGATCACTGACAACTATAAATTTAGCTTGCGTAGCAGGTGTCGAAAGGGGTAGGGGATAGGGAGGAAGCAAAAAGGGGATGTGGATTGGGGAGAAATAGTAGCCTGCCACGCAAGCTACTATAAATTCAGTCATGAGCACATTAAGCCAACCCATACAGGTAACCTACTCATCGATGCTGATAACATGACACATCTTTCCGGTTTCCCTAATTTTTCCAAATTCAGATAGAACGCCATTATGCTTCTATGGACCAACGCATCCCACGGAAACGACTTTAGG